ATTAAATATTTCTTTGAACACTAAAAGAAGCTCAAAGGCTTATATTTACATAATGTATAATTGCCAGTGTTGTGCAATTTGACCAGAGGGACTTTACGAGGCTCCCAGCACAGCAAGTATTATACAGCAAGCTTGTAAAAGAACTCTCCTGCATGCTCTCATTCTGCCTTAAAAGTTATTTTTTGTTCCTCCCCCTACAAAAGTTTGCCATTTTATGTAACTTAGTGCCCCGAGGCTGATAGGAGAGGTAAAATTCCTCACCCTAGAGGACAGGAAAAGAAGCAAGGGGCTGAAAGACATTAGAAAAAAACATTTCAAGCAGTAAGTTTAATTAAGCCATTAAAGAAAACCTGTCGATTCTAACTTATTGGAAGCCTGAAAAAGCATTGTAAATGGCATCTGTTAAGAATGGCACCAGCATGAGGAGACTGCTGGATGGGCCAGATGGCCTACAAAGGCTCCCTCTAGACCTGTTTTTTTTTTTATGATCTTGCTATGGAGAGGAGCAGCAACAAGATCAAGCAATCTCTAGGAAAGCTTCAAGAGCACCTGAGAAGCCTCTAATCTATCTTCCAGTTTATCTTGTTCTTCTCTTTGAATAAGGAATGTTAATTAAAACATCTTAAGGAGTTTGGACAGCAATTATAAACCTTTACAATAGCCAGCCTCAGGCACTTGACAATAAAAACATTTCAATATTTTATGTTGTGCTTTACATTTTTCACAGATTAAAGCACTTTTTAGACTATGTTCCGTTTCAGCATGTACCATATTTACTCTTACAATTACTAGCTGAAAGTGTTTGATTACCGATCACATGCCTAGCAGTTTTTCAATAGGGAAGCAGAACAGCCTTTTTACACTCTTTGACAAGAAAATCTGGGGGCTACATACATAATTTTAAGCATGCAAAAAGGCTCACTGAAATTGCTTGTGCCACACCACATACAGCCAAAGACCTCTCCATCCTCCACGAGTCCCCATCAGCAGGACTGCTGCAGGGAAGAAGCCTGCCCTGATGTGAATCACTACAGGGTCACTTACAGGGACCAGGGTTCTGACATGAATGATGCCCAGGAACTTTTCCCCAGGATGCTGAAAAAATTTTGATCTATATAGAGATGTTAGTTTTTCTACTTGAAATGATAAAAGCAGTATTAGTCTGCCGGGATTTGAACATACAGTTGTAGAGTAGCAGACAGTGGAAGTCACGTCAACAACCCTGAACAAGACAACAACCCTGAGCAATCAAAAAGTGGGGGGAAGCTGTTGCTACAAAGTTGATGAAAGGTATCCAGAACAAAACAAAACAAACAAACAAGCAAGCAATCAAAAAGTGGGGGAGAGAGCTATTACTTCCCTTTATCTTCCTTCATAAATATTACAATGTGCAAAAAAAAAATCTTTTATTTTTATTGGATATTACTGCTCACAAACACAGATTCAACCTCAGGAGCATATCTTGTCAAGAACAGAAGAAAGTACTTTGGCAAAGAGAGCATTTTCATCTTGTCTGAAAGGGAAAATTTCTAGAAAAACTTGATGGAGAAAACAACCTTTTCCTCCCATACCCTGCTCCTTTTCCCTGCAAAAAAATAATCGGCCAGTACAAAGAACTACCATAAACAATAATAAAAAATTCACTTTTTCTCCACTCATCCTCCCAAAACACATAAAACATGTCTTCCTGTTTGCTTTCCTTGTACAGGCAGAGATACTGAAAAAGGAAGCACCTCTATCTCAGTCTGCATCTTTATTCCCCTCCGCAGATTGACTAAGCAGATTAAAAGAAAAGAGAAGTGCACACTGAAGCAGCACTAAAGCTGTAATAAAAAAAACAACTGACAGTTCAACGGGAAAGGAAAGTAGAGTCTGCTGTAACTGCTTAGAAATTAAAATAGTCTGGAAGAAAGCAAACACACCAAGTACACTGTAGGTAGATAACTTCCAGCACTGACAACGATGGGTGCCTTCCCCACCCCAAAAAAAGAACTGCTCCTGCCTTCTTTCATCACAACTACTGACAAGGTGAATCTGAAACTTTGCAACCGCCAGCCCTTGACAAAGCACAATAAATCAAAGCAGGAACCCACTATTTGTATTTGGGGATGAAAGGAAACTATCCAGCCAATTAAAATATTCTACAAACAAAAGCAAGCAAGAAAGGAAAAGAACAGTGGTGTTATACTGAGAAAGTGCATTTTTAAATTAAAAAGAGTCAATATTCATTTATTAAATTATTTTTTTCATACATAACATTTTGAAACTGTATTTGTCTAAGCTACTGTTCTCGAAAATTTCTACACAGAGCTAGACAAGCAGCTAAAGCAGAAAAAGCAAAACATTTATTGATATTTCTCTTGCTAGCCAGCCACCCTGATCATCTGGGAGATGTTCAACTCTGTCTGCAAAATAGCCAATAAGACTGTGCACAAATGGATAGAAATATTTTGTTGCTCATCTTGGTTATTTGTCACAAAAGGAGAAGAAGTGTAACAGACTTATAAAAGAAAAAAAAGATTACGTTATGGAAAAACCACAAAGGAGAACAGTACTGCTTTATGGTGAAGAGCTGTTGTAAAAGGAAGACAAAACAACTCTCTGAAATATATGTCCTCTTGCTTGTTTCCTCCAAAGCAGATGTGAGGACCCAGCACTTTACATCAGCAAGGAAACAGATGAGTAGCAATAGCTCCTGTTAGAAATGCACGTAGCACACACTGAAAAATGGTGGAAAGGAACTGACCAACCAATAGGGTATATCATAAATTTGTTTATTATGTAAATACTACCCATCATTTCTCACATACAATTGTTAAATTTAACTGTTGCCTCAAAATTCTTCAAACAAGATGATCTGGGGAAATTACAATGGTTCCCTGCAGTCTACAAACCTAAACCCAGTTCCCAGTCAAAGGTCATGGCAACCACTTCAAAAATGATCACCAGTTTGTGCATCAGCTTTAGCAGACTGAATATTTAGGAGGTGCTGAATGAATATTCACAGGTGTGCTGAAGTAACAATTTCAATATCAAAGGCCACATTTGAAAATATAGCTTATCTACGAGTATTGGCTAAAAAACTTAACAGACACGTAACACACTGAGAAAGCCATGGGAAAAACTTCAGCTTCAGAAAGGTTGTTTCTAGCTTTGTAATTCAGAAAAAGTACTTTGTAAGCACAAAGAAGTCAGACTTAAGGTAGCAGTAAGACAGACTACTGAGGGAAGTTTATATTGCTGCAACCTTAGCCAGTGCTTTGAATGCTACTTGAAAAAAGAATTAGGAAGAGGTATAGTGCTTAGGGTACAACTCCATAAGCTGGTACACTGAGCTCCCAACAACACAACTCCTCAGTGATATGATCATCCTTCCCTCTTTGGCAACAAGTCCAGCATTGCTAAAAAATATTTTATACCAAGGTTTGCAGTAGTGTGCTTCCAGCAGCATTTGCAATTTTTCAGTCCACCAGAGGAAATCACTCTCAGCCTGCCTAATGCAGAACACATCTTTTACATGACACAAAGAGACTCAGGACATGGGAGAATTGCATCCGTGACACAAGGGAGACTGTCACAGAAACTCAGTTAATATCTTGCTTTGCAGTGTCTAAATATTAATTTTTTGGCATTGAACCCTCCAAGCTTGAGGCTAAAAAGCATTCTGGAAGTTACTGAGCACACATTATTCAGGAATATTCAGGTAATTTTATAACAATACAATTGGACCACAAACCACCCTCACATGCACTGTAAACAACGGAAATGTTTTGCAAGGGAATAGAAAGTCAGAAACACTGAGAATATCTGCTAATCTGGTGACGCCAACTTTAAGGCTTTCATAAACCTCACAGTATCTCATGACTTCTCAAAATCTTAACTCCTGGGAAACTGAAAATCTTAGCTTGCTTTTGAAGCCAGGCAGTAGTTTCAGAAACACTAAGCACAAACCAGTTCCGCCAACAAATGAAGCAGTCCTGCCTCCACACCCCCCTCGGCAGCTCATTCCTGCCTCTGTGCCTCCTTCCCTTTCTGTGGGTGCAAGCCCTGAAGTGTATCACATTTACCAGCAGTCCATTTCAGCTTTTAGCTGTGCCGAATTTACTTGCATTCATGTCCCAATCCAGTTTTCCTGGAGCTGCACAAACATTCGTGCCAGCACAAAGGGATGCAGAGGCTATAAATCACACCTGCTGCTTTCAGCAGCTGTACCGGTTTGAAAATGATTCATGAAATGATGGCCTGTATTTCCAGATAGAGAAAAGTTTGAGAACTTCTCCCCATTTCACCCTAAAGGCAAATACCGTTTGGGAGACAATTAGTTCTTTCCCTCCTCAATTTTATGAGGCGTGACTCCGGATATTTCAGCACAAGGCTTAACATGCTGGGAACCAACCGCGCTGGTTCCAGGTGCTTCAGTAGTACAAACAATACTAACTGGGGCAAAGAGCCTGGTCCTGCATCCAAAGCAGGATACAGGGGGTTTGGTCTCATCTTCACAGAGAATTTGATTCAAACAGAAGAGAGCTGAACTGAAAAATGCCCAGGATACACAAGCATATCAAAACCCCACCTTTGTACTCAAGCATGTACCACGTGTCAATCCACATTTACATTGCATCAACACTGGTCAGGCACTTCAGAACTTCTGTGTAAATATCAAATGCTGCAGCGCTCTGCCAAAGCAAACTTGCATACAAATGTAATTTAATGTTTTGGGAGTTTTTGGTAATAATCTTAAAAATCACACCAATGCATGAGCTCTTTGTCCCAGGTACCAGTTACCTACGTACACTGGTTGTCAGCATGATGTCTTCAAACCAACAGATCTGTTCCACTAACTTAATAGACGAGACCTATACTTCTAGATTCTGATGCCGCACAGACATTCGAAGCATCAGCATCCTCTCACCAATATGGAAACCATGTGTGATAAGTCTTATTTACTGTATAATACAGACAACAAGGAGAAAGCTGCATAGCGAGGCATTTTCACTTACGTGGTTTATATAGAGACTCTTGCGTTTTTCTCTCACTGCAAAAACACAAAATATGATAAAATATTACATGACTATTTTTCCTGATTAAGCTTCTTATATACCATTTATAATAAAAAGAACAGGAAGCTGTCTATGTGCAACATTGTAATTGCTTTTGCACTAACCAAGCATATTTATGTATCAAACACAGAAGGAACATACATCTGTATGCATAAAGGCATTTACGCTCACTAGTGTGGTAATGGATTAAAATTCTCATCCATCTGGGTACTTCCCCAGGCGTTGGTCCGCATGGGAAAGTTCATATGCAGAAAGCTACAGTCCAGGTTAGCAATGGATTAGCCATCCTTCACCAGTTCTCTGTGTGGGCACTCCTGAGCCACCAGTGCCTTCGTGCAAGGTACCTTGCTGCAGAGTGGCCTACACTACCTTGCAGGGATGAAAGCACCTAAGTAGCTACACCACGGAGTTAGCAAATCCTCATCATAGCTTACTGTGCACTAACTCCCATAGGAAAGCCTTGAAACCATATGCATTACACCACTGCCTTCCCTAAAGATTAGGTGCAAGCCTGAAACTATTACTCATGTCGGATATAACAATGAAAATACATTACTTTGGTGAGTACGAACCAGTCACCACAAGCAAGGGTTGCAAGTCAAAGCCACAATTAGCCAAAATATTCAGAAAGTAAACAGCAAAAACAAGGGAGATAGATGTATAGAGTCTTAATTGTCAGGCAAATGCTTATTACAGCTGATTAAATAGACTCTATTTAATTTTTTTAAAGCACTTTCCCAATTAACTCACCCCATAGAGAGCCTGTGGAGCTCTGTTCCAGTGAAAATACCACAGCATTTAGGATACAAGTCTGGAGGCAACTAGCACATAAATCAAACTGCAGAATTAAAATAATAATGGTTTCATGCTGCAGGTGATTAAATGCACTTTGGTGCACCATGCTTTGAAAGCTATGCAACCCAATGTCCGTAGCAAAATAAGCATGTTCATAATGGTGGGACAGCCTGTCCATTCCCTGTTGGATGAGAAGCCATTATTTGTGATTTTTTATAAGCAAGCAATCTCACATAAACAAGGCTGTATGTGTGAATACTGTGAAATAATTGTGTTTAATGCAGACATAAAATGGCAATAAGAAAAAACTTTTTAAAATCCTTACATAATTTTCCTCCCAGGGAGCAGAAAGGAGAATCACACATGACAGATGTTAGCCATGTCACTTAGTACATTCTCAGATCCATAATTACGGACATTGCATAAGAAACAGAATTAAACAGGAATAGCAGGAAAATTCTGATTGTCTAGTAAACAGTTAAACTGCTTGAAATCCTGCTAAAACACTGCACTAAACTTAAGTTCCACACACGGCTTTTATCACCAGCAAGGGACATAAGTAATCTAAAGGGAAACAACAAAATGATGGTAGATACTCACTTCCACGAATAGCCAAAGTATTTGTCTAGTATTGCATATTGCAACATACAGGCAGTAAACAATTCTGACAAACTGCACAAAAACCTAATAAGAGTACATAACTGAAAATTAACACCTATTAACTGCGAAATTTTGAACACAGTTAAGTATTTAGCAGTGTTAGTCACAATTACACTGCACACGAAGTTCTTATGGACAAAATTGTATAAAGACAGCCTGCACATACACTCCAAATTCCATTTTAATCACCTTTTTTCCCCCCACCATAGTTTTTCTCTTCCGTATTTTCCTTTGTATCCATTATTCAATTCCCCATGAAAGTACAATCATCTATTTACCAAAGCAAGACTATCACTCCCAGCTCATTCCCATTTGCTATTTCCAATCTCCAGAATAATATACTAATGTATTTACACACACCCTTCACTTCTCCCTGCTCCAGCACTGCTCGTGCTGCACGTTCTTCTAAGCACCACGTTGGCCTCCTTTCCGCTGTGTTCCCCATATAACAGAATTCAGTTAGCCTGCATTCTCCAGAGAGGGACCACAAGAAGGCAGCTGTGCTTTTGTGCTCCTGGCCCACCCTGCCATAGCATAAGGCTGAAGTCTTCCCAGAATATATTGCTGATGGGGAATTGGGCATAGCAGAAACTCATTTTGTCACAACTGCTCTTTCGTGATCACAACCCTCCCTTTCAACAAGGCAAAGACAATTCCTGCACAAGCCAAAACGCCACTTCTGCCAAGCTAAAATGACTGTAAAGAGGTGATTTCATCACTTGGCTTCAGTCACTTTAAAGACACTTCGCACTGCTCACACAACACAGTATAGTCTTCAGCAGACCAGACTGTACAGCTATAATTAACTGTCATTTTGTAGCATAAACTCCTAATTGCAACTCCAGGCTTTTGGCTTTGAAGCATGGAGTTTTGATGAAATGAAACTGAACAGATTTAGAGTCAATTTAAACAATTCAACTTCTACTTTCTTTCTAAAATTTTAGAACTTGAAAGTTGGAATGAAACTCTTCAAGTGGAGACTGAGATCCTGCCAAATTCTCTTAGTTTTCCTAACTTTAAGGTCAAAGACCTGTTCCTATTTCTGCAGGCACTTTCAACTGTTATTGTTGAACTTCTGCAATAGCAGGAAAACATACTATCCTGAAATAAAAGGGAGTGAGGAAGTATACACACATACATATATACATGAATGTGTGTGTGTACCTATGCATGTATTCTTCACTGAGCTGTAACAGAAACTTTCTCCGTGCAATTTCTATAGGCTATCATAATGTCACCCATATCAGGATCAAAGACAAAATCTTTGAGGATTACATCAACAAAAATGTCTTGCATTTTGGGAATTTGTAAATCATTTATTTTTGTTTTATCTGAGACAGGAGACTGGTCCTACTTAACATTAAAGAGTAAGTTCACTTCTGTCTACGTAAGTACAATTTCAAAATCCTCTTTGTCTGAAGCCCACTGTTGCACTGATCCTGCAAAATTTAGCCAGTACATTGAATGTGTAAAGCCTAATGTAAGTTAGGAGGGGTGGACAGCTGTAACCCACTTAGAGGACAGACCATTACCAGCACCCTGAAGTAGCAGCCTTTGCCCACTTGATATTATAAGGAATGGAAGTTACGTTACTGGAGTGTTGATGTTCGGAAACCCTGGCTTAACCAGAACCACACACTGACTAGTGCATGGCTTTTCAGTCACCTAGACCATCCTGCTTACAGGAAAGTTATGTTACTGGAGTGTTGACGTTCGGAAACCCTGTCTTAACCAGAACCACACACCGACTAGTGCATGGCTCTTCAGTCACCTAGACCATCCTGCTTACAGGCCCAACCCAGCAACAAGTGAAAACTTGCATAAAGCACTCATAGAAGTTAAAGGCAAAAGGTGATATTCTTTACTAGCTCCCTAAACAGGGGAAATTACTCATGTAAGATTCAGCATCTAGAAAATTCCACAAAGAGCTGGAAATAGCAGAAAAGCTACTTTAGTTAGGAGTTCAAATTCGTATTTATTGTGTCTTCAACTTTTCTACAGATTCATTGAACTCTCAGGTAATTGAGGATGCATTCAGACTACCGACTAAGAGGGACAGGACAGATTTAGATGCTTAGCACGGCATTTAAGCTTCACAGAACAATGGGAAATTCAGGCCACAGGATATCCAGAGATGTTATACCCTGTGTCTCATTATATTTGGGGTAGTCAGCTTGTTGCTCTTCACTCACATGTCGATCACAAACAGCTCAAGCACAGCTCTGTGCCAGGACAGTACAACAAGATTACCAGTGAGGCTGAAAGAGTACAGGGCTACCAGAAAGCCAAATGTGGAACTTCCTGAAGGTAATGCTGCCAAGTCGCTCTAGCACGTAGTTATGGACTTGGCCCTTTCCCACTGTAAAAACACATGGTGAACACTCAAGAGTCACATCCAGATCCTGGATGAAACCTTGAGTCCTGATGTCCCTCAACTATCTAATATGTATATTTTAAATGGCTGCAGTTCTTGTCTAAAGAAACATTTCCACTTACGGTCAACAGGAAGGTTTGCCAGCCCAACACTATACAAGTAATGGAGAGAGGTAGCTATATGCCCAAGTTCAGTGTTCTCAATGTTGCCCGCTCATTAAGCTGACTTAAGAAGTCTTGGGGGTCTCCTAGGCTCCACAGCAGGCTGTCAGAATACAACCCTACACACCCTAAAAAAATACTTACATTTTCCCCTTAACAAGCATTTCATTGCATTTTGCTGTTAGTTCACTTGGTTCCACAAGAAGCCCAAAGTACAGACAAGCAAAATGTTACTACTGTGACCTATCCCACCAGAACGGGATGGTTCTTGGTAATACATCAGCAGATAAATGTTTGCAGAATTTTTTTTCTTTCGTGCAAGCAAGATAGACCTTGGATTTTTTCCACTGTGATCAAGGATAGCTGAACAGATCCTACATCCTGTTGATAATGTTTCTGTATTGTTTCACTAAATTCTTTGTCCTCGCTCAAAAATACGTTCTTTGTACTACTTAAACTAGAACAAAGTTTCATAGACCAACTCTAGCATGGGTGTAAACTGACATTTTAAAAAAATGCTTACAATTAACCATATACTGTAATAAACTAACCACTATCACTACAAGTATGAATAAATATCAGATACGGACAAAATTTTAGGTGTTGGACCCGGGATTTTTTTTTTGTCCTTTTTTTCAACAAGCTGTAACAAGAAACATGTAGCGTCTATATGGGATTATACAGTCTCAAAACACCATAAAAACACTGTAAAATAGACATCAGTCTTCATAATACAGTGTACTACAGCAATATTAGATTATTCATTTTACAGGCTACCAAACCAGATTAGAATGGTAAATCACACCCAAAACCACATAATAAGGCATTGACAGAATGAGGGCTGAATTCAGAAGGACAATCTGAAGGGCAAAAGCGGTACTCACATAATCAACTTTTCAATTAGGGACTAAATGTATATCCTCTTTGTTCTAGTCATGCTCAAAAACTACCAAAAAATACACAGGAAGTGAAAACTGCATTATTTTCAAGTGATGTGTTTGACACTGCAATTTACTATGTAAATCAAAAAGAGCACTTATAAGCAGCAGAAAGAAGGACAAAGAATTCATACTGAACAGTCAGAAGTACAATGTAGAAGCTGCTTTGAAAGTCTTGGTAGAAAAAAATGTGTTTTGCATCGATTATTTATCTACTTCCAAAACAACATGTCATACATGTCCAACAGGGAATGAAAGAGCCACAATAAATGGCTTCTATTCTACTAACTCTATCAAGAGGCCTGCCTAACAGACGTAATTCCAGAGAGATCATTTTGTCTATGAATAGAAAAAATATTCCAGACAAATGATTATATGATTATACCAAATCCATAACGAGAGAACAACAGAGAATGTCTGGGTGGGATGGGGGTTGTTTTGTTATTAAAATGCAGTACTATACTCATGTACTGTACCAGCTATATTGGAGAAAGCTCTGGACTCTCTTTTCAGCTAGTATAAACTGGCATTTTCTCAAGAAAATATTCCCCACACATTTCCCAGAAGCTTGGCCTAATGTTCAGAGTTTAAAAAAAACAATGAACAGTGACACAGAAAATTTTGGATTTAGGGAAAATATTTTAAAAATACAATTATATTAAGCTTTATCCATATTTGTAGTTCTGATACAATGACTACTTGGAACTTACGATTTCAGGACATGACAGAACTGAAACCTGCACCTTCTACTACTAGTCTGACAAAACAACTAACTAAAAGCATGAATTCGTTCAACACTAACATGATGCCTAGAAAAGCCTCTTTTTTTGTGAGGGGAATTATATATTAAAGGACTATCACATGTATTCTAACAAAGGGTTTAGAGATAACTGCAATAGCAAATACTGTAATAAATTCAGTAACCTACCATCTGTTTGCGATTTACTGAGAAATATCGTACTGGCCCGTGGATGATCTGATGGGTTGAATTCCATGTTCAAATCTGGAAAGAAAGAATAGCACAAAAACATTTATGATTATCCAATGGTATATACAGATTTTCTTATTCTTTTTAATAAGACCAAGTTTAAATACTTTAGCAGCTATTGTAAAACAAAATCCATCTTGAAGCCCACTTTTTTATCCTTCACACAAGTGGTTTTTTTTGGCATGCAAATCATTTGCATCAACACATCTCTGGGATTAAACTTCAGTTCTAAGGGCTGGTTTTGGATTAAAACAAATAAAGCAGCTTGACAAGTTTGTACACAAGAAGTCAGGAATTATTCATTTACCATTAGCTTCTTCCCACCATGCCCCAAAGCCATTGCTAAGCACAGGAACACTGCTTGTTATATGTAATTATGGAAGAATTAAGTATTATAAAACAAATACGTAACCTTCTGTAGATAGATGGGTTTCCAAGATTAGATGTGATTAAAATAAGTAGTTACTGCAACTGAATGTAAACAAGTTAAGACTAAGGCCAGAGTGTTTTACATGGTCAAGATTACAAAAACTTGGAACTTTCCTGATACTTCACAGATAAACAGATTCCTTGCTGTGACAACTTAAAAAACAAAACAAAACAAAACAAAACAAAAACCAAAAAAACCCAAAAAACCCCCCCACATACCTGAAAAACATTTACCATGTTAAAGATTCAAATCTATCACAGCTTATACGAACATCTATGAATGTTACCTTCTCTACTGAGGTTAAAATCCATTGAAGTTACTTGTTCTCAAATTCCACTCCACTACCAATTTGTCAAAACTCTTACATGCCTGCATCTACTCAAAAGCATGCTACTAAAAATAGCACATCATTTTTTATAATTTTCTTGCTATCTCAACCTTAATTCTCTTACATTCTCTTGATCTCTAGATATACGTTCTCTTGGATTTGATCCGGGCATTTAGGCGAGATTACATATGAGAACTTTTTTTCCCCTGACCACACACCTCTCTACAAATGTACTTTCTATTTGTATTTTTCCCCCTTATGCTCTCTTGGTTTCCTTTTCATCTCCTGCATTCTGTAGCCCATGAAATGAGCAGCCTAACATGCTGCTGGTACCTGTACATAACTTCTGGAATAAATATCATCTTCCTTCTTCTAAGGAAGAACCCAGAAACACAGAAAATAAATTCTTCAACTGGAAAGGAGGCATATTATTACTATTATCAAAGCCACAACAGAAAAGAAATCTAGGGATTTCAAGGGAAAGTCATTTTGATTCTCCCAGAAACCACAGTTTCCAGTCAATCTTGGAGAAGATTCTAGAAAGGTCATCTTACTATTAGGAGTTCTGACATGAAAGGACCATGAATTAGAAAGAATGTTTTCCTGTTAATCTATGCATCTTATTCAGACATAGAAGAAAAAAAAACATCTATTGAGACACGTAATATTGGTAAAGATTGTTTTCCATATCAGGATGTTTTTTCCATCAAGCTGAATTCAAGACGCAATCCATTAAGTAAAGAGTAATCAGCATTTTAAAATGGCAAAATACACTGTCTTTTATCATCCTCTTCATCTTCTATTAAACAGCACCATACATCACCATAACAAAAAAATCATTTTTTTTAAAAAAAACCACTGCAGATAATTTTTCTAGAAATCTTTTAAAGTACAGCAATGCAAATTCAGTCAACAAAATAGGACCAGCAACATGAAACCAAACTCAGCTTACAAAACACTGCCCCTAAACAGACAAACATTCCTTTCCTTCAGGCCTAGAAAATTATCTGCTTGGGGAGTAATAACAACCCGGTACAGGCTTACAGTCTGCTCGCAGGGTTGAAAAGAAAGGGAAACCAATTGCCACGTCTTGCAGTCTAGTTACAACTGCTTTAGATTCCTGTGCTATAAAAGGCTATTATGCAGAAGTCATAAACCAACAGAGGACTTCTGAAAACAAGCATGAACTACCAAAAAGCACTGGCTCTGGGATGAACTGTTATTTTTCAGACAAGAGCTGAAAGAAGGCCAGGAAGATCCACCCTCAGCAGCTGCAGAGGCCAGACCAGGGATTTTGAACTATCCCGGTAGAGGCAGCTGCCTACTGCGGAACCCCACAAAGCACCACGCGTCCTCTTCTCTCCACATCCCTTCTCTCACATCCTCCCCAGCAACAGCAGCCATCAACCACATCCATCTGTCTTTCTCAAACCGCCTGCACAAAAATCAAGAGGAGGAAAACATGGGTATGGTGAGCAGCAAAGCCTGCTGGGGCAGGATACCCAGCACAAGAGGGCCAGAAGAAGACAAGTGCTGCTGAGAGGCTGGCTCCCCACCTCCCTCTGAGGAACAGCAGAGGTCTCGTGGGCTTGCAGGCAGAAGAAAGTGCTGTTTGGTGTGTACCTGCAGCTCAGTCACTCCCAGCACCTCCAGAGAAAAGCATTAGGCAAGTCGGAGCATCCCACAGGCCACCAGTGGGACCACACCACTCCATGACACCACTGCTGGCAACGAGAGCACTCGCGTGGATGAAGTCTGACAACATGCAAGTAAAATTTTGGTCTCTGGTTGCTCTTAGATGTCTAATTTATTGTACAATTTGAAAACAAATGCTTTTTCGAATCTGGCAACAAATTCTTACAAATCTGTCATCAGAAACCATGTTACAGAAGAAAGAGATCAAATGCTAGACACATATCTGAAGCTAGCAACTCATCACCGAAGAGCATTATCCATCAAAAGGTTACTTCCATCCTAAAGAAAATAATACATTCATACTGCTTTAGTGTTATCAGTAGTTCTTTCTAGTATTTGAAAAGTAGTATGAAAAACAGTCACAATATGAAAGTTTTACCCATTTTGTAATGGAATAGTCAAAGCTAAAGAGAGATTTACACTCACACAAGCAATACTCTACTATCTGAAAGAGAAGAAAATGAGAGCCAGAATTTCAATTATTGAAATCTGCATGAAAATTTTCTCCATTGCTAGCAGTCTGCTCTGTGACTCACCATAGCCTTACAAAGGAAAAATTTCAAGTGGGTACTTCCTCCAACAGTTATCCTGCACTCCAAAATCAGCTTTTAAGAAAAAGTCCCTGTCTCATAGACCATCCAAATGAAAAACCTTTCACTGTAGATGTTCTTTCCAGTCAAATAGATGTGGAATATTTTCTTACATATTTTCATAGTTCAAAGATTAGGTTATCTTTTTTTTTTAGTTACTGTTAAGTTATGCAAAATATAATTCCCATTCTGTAAACACCTAAACAGTGTGATGTCCCATGAAAATTTCAGGGCTTTTGTCTTCTCACGATTAGGAACCAAAGATGTGTGTCTATAAATACATATATACATACACATGCATATATCTGTATCTATATAGATGTGTATTTAAATCTAAACTACTTTTTGGTTAGCAAAAGCTAAGATAGCCTCAGGTACACTTTAGCTTAAAAATCATGTGCCTAACAGTATTCACACAATTTTGGAGGATTTGGGCAAAACCACATTTACAAATACAGGCAAATATACCTAGTATTGCATTCTCTCCCTTGCTGAGTATCCTGCCAAAGTAGCAGTTATTATAATGAGTATTCTGGTTTACTGCACTGAAACAAATTCACTCTCTCCAAGAAAAAGAAGTAGATTTTGCATATAGCTTAATTCGGAACATAACTGGGCTGACGTTTAAGACAACTAACAGAAGATCACCATGAGATTCACCCTCTACACTCTGAGAAACTTAGTTCCTAAAGCCACAGTAGCTGCATTAAAATGGCCATAAAAAGAAAAACTGTAAAACAGTCCCGTTTCAGACTTGGGCTAAAGCCCAGGCAAGATTTCAGATCTCAAAACAAGATCTTCAAAAGCGTTGCTGAGACCAAAAATACTGAATACAGCCTCAGTTTGCACTTTTTAAAAGGATAAGATTAAAGTTCAGAGGAGTGTAGAAGAGACCTACGAGAATGACTGGAGGACTGCAGAAAATGCCTTCAAGTGAGAGTCTGAGTTCAAACCATTTAGCTGATGAAAAAGGAAAACCAGGGGGCATCTGTAGTTCAAGCATACCTTCACAGGGGAGAAGAAAAAATACTGAAAGCTCTCTCTAAACTAGCACACAACATAGCAAAAAACAGTGGAAAATGAAAGTAGAAAGATCTTAATTATGAACTTGGCTGAAAAAAAAGGGAGGATAATCAAGCACTGAAGTTCCATACCCAAGGAACTCAACTTATTTTTACGTTTTTTCCCTTTCTAGAAGATTGCTTCAGCCAAAGATCTTTAGGCTTTAATCCAGCATGAGTGTTTAGGCTCAATTGAAGAATAAATACATGCTTATGATTCATAGGCAGGTCAGATCAGATGGTCCCAGGGGCCTCTAGCCTAAGTTCTATAAAATCTTCAGAAATAGCAATATTTAAATTATTAAGCACAGAACCTCAGCAAATCCCAGTGGCACATCTGTAAGTTTTCCAAAATTGCAGCAAACTCTGTTGCAATTCTTCGGAAAGAGCTACTTATTCAAACCTGTGGTCAGAATACATTATGCAAGATAAAAACAGAGAAGGATGAGACTGAATCTTTTGTGGCAAAATTTTAACCAAATAAAAAAGTTTCTTCAATTATTGACATAGAAACACGCATCACAAGAAGATGAAGGATGGGTGCTGTAGCAACTAACTTCTGAGCAACATGCATCAAAGCTTCTGCCGTGACACAAACAGGAAAAACCAACACAGTCGCTGCTTTTGTAACAGTGCACGTGGGCTGCAGCACAGGGAGCAGGTCTGAAAATGTGTTTATTCTATCAGAAAAATAAGATGTTATTTCCTTCATTTTGAACAATGAAAGCTGTGTAAGTTTGCACTGCCAAAGCTCTGATGCTGATTCAATAACAAACGTCTAAATTGAGTAAGATACTTGTTTTACACTTAAATAGGTCTGAAATAATCCAGTGAAATTACCTTCCTTCCTTCCCTTTACCCTTGGGACCACAGGTTATCACTGCCACTGCACAACCACCACTATCACTAAGGGAAGAGATAGTGTCACATATTAGTCTAATGACCTACCATATGCTTAAAAACAAAATCAATCCCTGTTTCTTCATTCCAGAGGATTTTTTTTTTCCCCCGCTTATTTAAAGGGACTTCAGGTAAGAAGAGAACAGACCATCCAGGGCATGCCACAGAAGAACCTGCAGCTGAGCAGGCACTACACAAATTAATTAACCTCTTTGCCATTTTTTCTCCAGTCACAACCTGACACTACAGAGCAACCGCCTGCTATGGCCTGGTGGTTGGAAAACAACAAAAACACCACAAAGCTGCTTATCAAGAAATTAAAAGAATGCAAGCAATGAACAATGTTTGATCAAGCCCTACATGTTTCCAGGAAGCCTGCTGAAGGGAAGAGAGAACAATTGCCACAGGAGCAGAGGGAAAGGGAAGCACAGGTGACCCACAGGAAGGGAAAGGCTTTCACTGAGTTGTCAAGGACAGGGCTTTCGGTGCACCCCGATGAAAGCGGGGAAGAGCATGGCTCCGTGCGGCTGTACGAGAGCTGTGCCGCCCTCGCCTGCGCCACCTCCATGGAACCAGCAGGACCTGAAATGGTATTTCTGCAGCTGGCAGAAAGAGTGAAGTTGTTGCTGCAGCTTTTGGTGTACAAACCCATATGAACGAGCTGATGTAATCTGTGGGAAACAGAAACAGTAATCTCCAGGCACAGACCAAGGGATAAATTTCCCCAACACTGAACCTAGAAAAAATGCTGAAATAAATTTTAAAAGTCTCATTGCACCTTATGCCTTTCTGCTTCTCTTTTACTCTGGTGGGCTGCTCCCCTCTATTAACAGCAATTAGCCCTTTAAATGTGTAATAATGAAAACATTCCCTTAAACATTATTACGTTATTACAATTCCCTCAGTAATTCCTAAGAGTTAAATGGGTACCTCTCACCCAAAGAGGATCTCCCTTATCTGTCTTGAGTCAAATGAGGCAAAAAAAAAATTACTTTAAAAAATAAGAAAGAGCAAAGAAACAAGACTGAAGAAAGCAATCTCTCATCATTATTAACTATTTTCTCAAATTTTATTTTAAATCACTGTGATTTATGCAAAGGAGCCATGAAAAAATCTTATATTTAGAAAACCATATGACTAGTACTAAAGCTTCCCTTTGAGACTTCTTTACATTAACATCTCTAAAATGTGGGATGTGGCAAGCACTGGGATTCACTGGGATGAATAAATAAATAAAGTACTGGGATGCCTTCTGCTCAGGAGCTTTTATGGCTTTCAAGCCAAAATAAGACTGAATTGTATAGGCTGATTTCACTGGGTAATAACAATAACTGCATATGCTTTTACACTAAAGCTTCCAAGATGCGAGATCCACTACTAGAAGTTTCAGCTCTTGCCATTCAAACATCACACAATCGCAGCATGAAGATCTATCAGTATCAGACCACAAGATTTATCTCTACCTCTTTACAGTACATCATGTCTAGCATAAGCAGCAACTAATCCACCCCAAATGAAAATGCCTCTCAGCTGTGTTACTGCCTGCAGTATTCTTGTAAGAACAAATGTTAATGATGACATTCCAGTGCTTTCTAACGGTGATTATAAAAATAAAAGAAAGTTGGAAATTGGAAGGCTTTCAGGAGGCAATTGGCTGGAAGGGTAAACTCCCTCAGGTTTGGCTAGGTCGCTGGAAAAACTTGGATATGATCTTTGCTACCCTGGAGCTATGGTATTCTCTGTGTACCCTTCCAAGCAAACGACAGGCACGACATTTCTCAGCAAGCTCCAATTACACGGTGACTCTGTTCCAGACTCTGCTCTGATCACGGTCTTCCGAGGGAGTCACAGAGATAGCTCATCAATAAAAGGAGTCCTCTGTGGCAAATAACGCTCGTTTCTGCACAGTTATTCCTGACCAGTCAGCCAAGTTACAACACAGAGCAGTTCTTACAGACACAGCTCTACTTATTTTCTCTTCTAGAAGGAAAATCACATATATCTTTTCACAGAACAAGGCTGAACAAGGATTTTTAGTTTTGTATCATCTTTCAGGATTTACGTTCCCTTTTACCGCAGTCTTTCCCACCTAGAGTATCTCAAGAGCAAATTAAATCATCTGACATTATGTGATATGTAAGTCTCTTTTTTAAGTTTTCTTGTATTTAAAATAGAAAATATACCAATTAATAAATCTTTTCCCTCTTGAGTTCATCTCATTAATGTCTTTCAGTTATTCCAGTATGGCATTATTAGTTTTTGCTTTAACTGTAACGAAAATGAAGCTTAAAAGTTTTATTGATCTATGAGATAAGAGAAGATAAGGAAAAAAGGGCAAACACATATCCATTTCTTCCCCCCAGGAAGACAGAGAGGAAAAGACAATTTATCCATATTACATGAAGAATTCAGCATGGACTTAAAGACCAACAGTTCTGTGCTACGACTAATCCAAGGGTACACAATTGTCCACTGTAAAAAGTGCCTAATACAAAATATATGGCTGTACATATCTACATTCACATCATACTCAAATACTGCTTCGCCGGCTTTTGACTATAACATAAAAGCATGGTTCTTCATCACAGTATCCTAGAAATACTGGAATGTTAATAAAATAGAATAAAGGAATGCAGAACATGGTCTACTCTAAAAGCTAGTTCTTTACATCAAAGTATCTTGACATAAAGAATGCCACTTTCCCTTTACGCATCTGCATGGAAATCGAAGGCCAGCAAAAATGAACAACTTCTCAAATATGGTATCTCTAAGATTTTCCAGTTTCCAGTGAAAATCAGCAAGAGTAATGAGAAGCATGTGCATGAGCATGCCTCCCTTCCTTCTGCTCAAGAGATGCTACAGCACACGGGACACTGACAAATATTCAGTTGAAAACTGTCCTCCCAGAAAGCCCTCACCAATGTTCCAAAGAGAACTAAATTCTTTTTTATGAAGCATTCAACAGAATCTAGCCCAAGAATCACAACTGGACCCAAAATTTGTTCACATGCAGGATATCCAGAGATACCAAGCAGGCATGTGCTGGAATACAAACTGATTCCAGAGATGAGGGACAACATTACCTATTACATTACCGCTTTTCAAGGCCAAAAATTCACTGTAAACTCTCATTTTCTTTATGCTAAGAGTACAAACAGACTTTTAGAATAAAATATTACATTGAGACAGCAAGTGGAACCCTGTGAGTCCAACACATGTAAGAGATTGCATTGACTCTGACTCCTCGGCATCAAGCAGGAAGCAGGTTCCAGCCCAGCTGAGCCGGGTACCCAGAGCAAGACCCAGCAGATGCTGCAACCTCCCTCAGAGGTCTCTGGTCTGCAAACCACCACCTGCCTCAGCTCAGCCAGATGAACACACGGTCAGGGAAACAAAGCTGAAGCCAAGTGAAGCGGGTCTAACGCTTCTCGCCAAAAGAAGGAAATGCACATGAAATTTCAGTTCTGCTGCTGGAATACAAAATGGCAAGGCTTGCCATCATTTTTTCAGCAGCATAGTCAGCTCTGAACAAGTAATGTAAACAATAATATGAAGACATTATTCTCACAAAGCCTTTTTTTAAATAATCATATATGTGATATGGTTGCCCTCAGGACAGAAAGAGAAACTACAGTGCTGCAGTACAGTGCTTTAAAGAGAGCATCTTGCTTTGCACTTCTGCATTCTGCTGCACATCTCCCATCATTGCTCAGGTTCTCACTGCTGACCTTCCATTTTGTAATCAAACACCACTTTTTGGCACTTGAGAACACAGTACTCAAGTTCCCCAGTTCCATCTTCTCTCTTAATAACCTTCCTCCATGAAATGACCCAGAGCCAGCTAATGCATGCTAGACAGGACGATATTGGCATGCATCCCTTCAGAAACACGAGCTGGTGTCTCTCCATCCCAAGTGCAGTTCTAGGTAAGGCAGCAGAACGTCACTACCTAGGCTGCTTGGCCACCTGCTTCCACTGGGTTTTATGAACACCCCAACTGCTGCCTGCTTTTGTCAACGTCACCTACGCTCTACTTACAGCACATGTAGCAACAAGAGGAACAAAGCCGCTGTCCTAGTAACCTCAAACTGAAATTGATGCATTTCTCTAATGCCTCAGTGACAGTGAGCACCACAAACACACTTCCTCCCTGACGCATTTTTACTTAAAATATACAACACTTTAAAATGAATTTACTCTGCCCTATTAGATCAAAAGGCAGAAAGAATGAAATATAAACAGTTGTGAAATAACTTTTTAAAATTATTAATATTTTTTAAATATTATTTTTCTTCCTATAAATGCATCAGAAAAAATATTTGTCACTCATTATGATAATCATTTAACATGATACATGTGAAATCTTTTACAGATATAAACACAGCATCATCACAGACCTAAACAAATTATATGAGCTGTTGCTATACCAAATTATTTTACTTGTTATTTCAAAACATTCAAGCAGTACCACCATGCTCTACACCAAAAGAGGCCTCAAACCATCAATACCCCAAGCGAGGCTGGCTGTGATCCTAGCCATCCTTGCCACAAATTTAACCCAGAGGTTAGAAGCTGGTAGGGGATTATTTGTCACTGAGTCAAACACAAAAATACCAGAGTCAGCAGAAATGTTGGGTCAACCTCCAGTAAAGTGAACTGATTTTACTTGAAGACACAGGTCAATACAAAGTAAGCAGCATAACCATCATCATATCACAGTTGAGCTGACATTATGACCTTGAATCTCGGACTGAAGCGTTATCTGCGACTTTGCACCCAGATGTATGCATTTCACCATTCCTCAAAACACAGATATTATTGCCATGCAAATCATTGAGAAACAGAATGACCTTTAGGATGTGTTATATTCTGCAAATCAGGGCACAGGAGTTTGAGCTGTAGCTCAGCTCTTTATATGGAAAAAAAGTAGCTACATCATAGTGACTCAAGTTCTGAGGAGCCCTCACACCAGCCCAGAAGAGCAGGTCAAGCTTACCCCTCCTCATTCCCTTACTGAAATGATTTTAACAAATGCCAGTGAAAATGGCATCTTTCCAAGGTCTCTTCTTTTTCCTTTTGCTTTCCTAGTGAGCTGTGTGACCTAATGTTAAAGTATTTACAAAACAGCTAATAGGTAACCCATGAAATAGAAACAGAAAAAGACTGTTCTTGTTTCTCAGCAAATTTAGTGCAACTATATTATAAAACACTTGTAAGGGTTCATCTGTGACTTCAAGGGCAGCAGCTGCTTTTTTTAATATGCAAAAATATAATTTGCAATCCTTGCTGAGGAACACCACAGGATACTTTGTAAACGACAATAACAGGATTTCAATTTTTCCCCTGCAGATTTGTATTCACATGGCAACCAAATTACCATGCTAAAATACAGTGTTAAAATCAGTACTACATGCAGATTGCCACCTGAAACTGAAAAGCGACTGACATTAATTAAAAACCTCTCTCATCACTGAAACTCAACATCTGTGCATGTGTATCTCCCAAAAGCCCATAAACACATCAGCTAAAGTACACGTGCATGTATATACGCATGCCTGAGCCCCTGAGCATTTCCATTACTAAATTGTAGAGCTGTCCCTAAGCCCAGGAGGCTCATTCTCCTTAAACTCTTATGGCAGAATGCATACAATAGAGCTTGCTCAACATACATCCACTTCAGAT